CAGCTGATTACACAGTACAAAGTTTTATCCACAACAACATTTTAATTTAGGAAGAACTCTGCTAGGCTAAAGGCTTGAAAACATCAAAAGCTGAGGAAATTTTAAGGTTGAGTCAATGATTAAATTAAAAAAAAAAAAAGAAAGAAAGAAAATGTGGAAGTTCAAGCAGAGAAATGCAACTCAGGTCTTTTGTTCCAAGGCCTCAGGGAAGGCACTGTTCTGTTTCCTTCAGAGATTTCTGCTGAAAGTACCAAAACACGCATGATCGAAGAAGTCTAGAGCATGTCTTCCTTTTAACACAAAATGAATGCAGACGCACAAATGCAATACATTTACAAAAGACAAAATACCAAGTAGTCCTCAAAGTAACATTATTGACAAATAAACATTTGCATCTGGAAATATAATGCAGCACCAAACTGGTGGGATGCCACTGTACTATGAACACATCCAACTGTTTGCTGCACAAGAAACTAAGAAGTACTAAACTTTAAGACACAAGTTAATCATGACAAAGAGTTTGCTATGACATAAATCTTTTAGATAATTACCTACTTCTAGTTAAGCACATTTACTCTACAAAAAGTCTTAAAACATGGTGAGTATCAATGGAGGAACACAGTGGAACCACACGAAGCTCAAAATCCTTCTAAGAACTTATTCCACAAAATGGTTTTAACAAGTGTTATTTCAAACACTGCCCAAAATGAAAATTTTCAGTCAAAAAACATGGCCCAGTTATATCCTGTAATATACATCTTCTACCACTAACAAATCACACACGAAACAAAAAACTATTTATAAAGAGCACTGTATTTCAAAAGCTTCAGAGAACATTCTTACTACTTTCTACAGGAATTCCATGTGGCAGTTTAAACTGCCTGAAATTTTAAGACAGCATCCTGAAGATGAAATTAACACCTTTAAATAGAGGCAACCCTATTTCAGATAATTATTGACAATTACAAACAACAACAGAAAAAAAACCCTGTAAACACAGTCTCACTTACCTGAAACACTGCCACCTCCACCTCAGCTCAGTCAGATCCTATCCTACTTAATCTGCATTCTAGTTCTTCTGGGACTCAACAAAAGCCAGCCCAGAAGCAACCCGCACAATTCCACCTATGCCAGGAACTGCTCTCTTATGCTCATATGATCATGCTTACTATTCAATTACCTCGGAATACAGCACAATGAAATGGTTGCCTTTTTAGTTCTGAAAGTCTAACATGTTAATAAGTATACAAATTTAACTCTAAGAACAAACAAATGCAGGCACACTGTTGAAGCTGGAGATCATTCTTCCAACAACTCTACGTAAGAATGGTTGGAGTGTTTAAATTCCAGGTTTAGTCTGTTTATTAATAAATGAGTAGGAAGTATTTTACACGTTGATTAAAATGCTCTTGAACTAATTAATATTGTCATACAAATTACTTAGAATATTTTTATTAGTATTTCTGACAATGCAGTCACTATCTATAAACAATTATTCAAACTACACTGGCATAGCACATCAAAAATGTGATCACTCTCGAGTGCAGCACTACCAATTATTTCAGTGTATCATCTACTGTGTTTTTCTAACAATGATGTGAATAATTGCATATTTTTCCCAGTTATCTCATTAACTGCATTACCTACCACTTTCAAGAATTTTATTCAGAGAACAGAAATCCAAAGTGGCCGATGCTAAAAGCGTGCCTCCACGTGTGCAAGTGATAGCTGTCCTCCATGTCATAGGCAGGAACACAGCCAATATACGTGAACCTTCCATAAAATAAGGAATCTCAAGGAAAACACCGATGATTTCAGAGTCCATGAACTCAAAGGGCTTTCAATTGGAATTAAAACCTCTAAAATGACTGTCTACACTCTGTACTCCTTATGGAAACCATTCCTTAAGGAACCATCTCCAACTACTAATGCACCCCCTAAGACCAGAAACACACAAATTTTGGTAAAATTCCAGCTCATTCAAGGAAAGAAGCAGCAAAAAAAGCTGACAGTTGGATGCACAATACTGCTGTGTCCAGAAGCCTACATGATCACTCATTAGCCTCCTCAGGCAAAACCTGAGGCTGAGGTTTCACACTGTGGGGCAAGTGCACTGTTTTTTCTGCTAGTATATTTTTAGTTGGATCAGTTCCCCACACAGCCGCAAATTGAACTGTGCCAGCAGAACACAGAGAGAAGCAACAAGCAGGTAAGTGATGCCACTTAAGACATGGCCAGGGAACAATGGAAGCCTCTGAAACGATCAAAGCACTGGTGAATAATTTCCGACTGGACAGTGAAGACATCATCTTCAAGTTAAGAAAAACACAGTAATTTTCACTAGGAGGAATTAATGTTCTTGTTTCAGATACACCTGAAGCCAGTTCTCCCCAGTTTCTCGACCAGAAAAACAAAAGGCAGACACACAAATCACCTTATAACATATACGCTAAGCTGAATCAATCTGCCCTACTTATCACTGTCCAAAAACCCAAGCTAGTAGCTCACAGTATTTCAAGATCTGCTAACAGTTGACACCTTCTTGCCTATAGCACCTTCTCCTAACAATAGCTGAGTAAAATCAACAGGACAACTCAATCACAATGGCTGCAAATGAAACCTCTTAGTTAACAATAGCAATTCAAATACACTGCATTTTGGCATGACTACAATGCCAGACAATTGCAATCTGACCTCAGATATAATAAAGAGAAGGATGTCATCCAGTAATATCTGATGTAAACTCACAGCTTTTGTTGAAGACTAGTATTTTATTTTTTTTTAACTGAAAATAAATATTAAATCTGAACTTCAGTGGATACAAGTGACCCAAAACATAATGCACTTTAAAAGAACAGGTTTGATGGGTTTCAATTCATGAAATAAAAACACATGCTAGATTTACCTGGACTTCAGCAAGACATTTGCCATCAACTTATTCCACATTCAAAGTTCGTCTGTCCCTACTGATATTCTCTACACAATGCTATCAGGATAGACTTTGCTTCCTATAATGACATGCAATAACTTGCCATGAATCTTACAAGTCCTCTTATCCAGAAGTGATTGATAGTCTTTGTTGCTACAAAATAGCTGGCAATTTAAAAATATTAACACACACAGAGCTATACCTAACTCAATGATCCACATTTGTCAAAATATATGTGAGAGATCAAATCAGAAGAAAACAACACAAAGCTTTCAACAGATCTCTATCAACCCAGAATTGCTTCATCTTGATCATGTTTTGTACTTTTGAAATCAATTAACAATTTTGATCTACTCTGTGCAAACTACACTGCCAGTGTTTTTACACAAAGGATCTATGCCTTTAATAAAGACATACCCTCCTTCACTACATGCACAAGTCCATACATTTGAAGGTAGTTAATAAAAAAAAAAATAGGCTTCCAAGGGAAAAAAAAATACATTTGTCGGGGACAGGGCTTGTTATTAGGTCAGGGCTTGAACTGATGATTGAGCAGCTGGTGAAGGGATTGTGGTTGGCCCAGGGAACACATGCTTGTGTGCACATTGTGCTCCCCATCTGACCAAAAGGGTGGATCCAGGGTGGAGCCATTCTGGGCTCATGTAAGGGCCAGCACTGAAGAAAGAGCATCTGAGGGACCTAAGCTGCTTCCTAACAGTGAGTGCTGTACTGCTGGAGAGCCCTTCACCAGTTGGCTGAGTTCTGTTCTTTCTGTATGTGACTATTGGCCTACTTGGGAATACTTTGCCTGGTATTGCCAAGAACCTGTCAGAAGTAATTTCACTTCTTCATGAGCAGAACAACATTAGTCATGCTGCTCTTAAGTAATTACATCCTTCATCATCTTCTCCACAACTTTATCCAAGGCTAATTTCATCCTAGACACCTTGCAGTTCTGAAGACCACCCTGCTTCAACATTTCATACTTCTGGAACTTCTCAGGACTTTACAATTGGATGTTATACATATCAGTGCAATCTAAACATGTCTGAATTGCCTGTACTTCTCAGATCCCAAGCATTTACAAAATTAACCATAATTGCAGTTAGTATGCTTAATAATTAAGAGTAATAGAATGAAATAAAACTTATTCACACTTCAAACTTATTATGCAATGCACTTCTATACACTCCACAATCACTGGAAGGGAGGCAGCTATCAGACACTGAGCTCACATGCAGCCTGCAATGAACACGCAATAGCACAAGCTGAAGATCTTGTCCTTATGTATCAGTCAGCAACACAGCAGGTTATACTGTGTAATCATCAGCACTACCATAAAAACAGTCTACTGACCCTCATGCAATGAAGAACAAGCATTTATACATTTCTATGAGCGCTGGCTGAAATAATGGTTTAAAAAAAAAAATTTTTTTAATAATTGGAAAGCCTGATGAAATAAACCTAAGAAACCAACACCTACCCCAAATAAAATCACAGTTCCATTCTCCCACTCAGTATTTAAAATAGAACTATAGAACTTGAAACACACATTAAGTGCCATCTTTTGCTCTTAAATTAGCATTTTTCAGCCTTGTGTTATCTACTGAGACTGCAAACATATGAAGGCACAAGCCCAATCTAAGGCACCCATTCTACACAACTGTGCCTCCTGAAGAAACGGTTAGCTTCTGAAGTTTCCGTGTTCCCCCATCCAATTAAGAACCCTTTCAAGGTACAGGTTCAACTCTGTACAGTCATGCAGTGAACCAGAAAAATGAAACAAGCAGTGTGGTACTACTATATAAAATAAAAAAACTTCATACTCATATCCGAACCAGAAGTGTATTCTGGGCTGGTTTTTTTCTTTCCCCAATTAAAATACAATTTAGAAATGGCTAATAAATTAAAATACAACTGTGTTTTTCATCAGTCTTAGTGTGTTACAGGCTTTGAAATATAGTACAAGCCATGAAAACAGTGAATTACCTAAATGTTTCGTATTCTATTATATCAGCCAATATTGGAAATGCTAAAAATAAATAAATAAATAAATAACCAACCACCTTACCTTTTGGATAATCTTCCAATAAGAGGTTGAAGTGACCTAACTGACAAAAGAAATCAGACTCGACCTTTCCTTCAGCTTTCAAAATTAGCGATTCATAGCAGCGAACAGCCTGAGAAAAAGAAATAAAAGGTTGTCAAAGTCCCGTATTTAACTAAAGCAAATAATACATTTTCTGAGCAACAATGCATCTTGTTTCTCTCCAATGAAGGACGACCATCATCTAAATAACGTGCAGTTAGCATTGTTTATCAAACATAAAATGTAGTATTTAAGACAGAACAGTTGTAGTTCAAATCTTCTAATGCACATCAATAGCAAACAAGTAACTAAAGTTCTCTGTCAACTTCAGAAACATTTGCTCTCCCCCAAAAAATTTCCATACCCTGAAAATCATTAAAAATAAAAAAAAACTGTCATTTTATTCTCATTGTTTTTGGCTTTTATTCCTAAAGGAATCACTTTTTGCCATCCTAAGCATTTAAGAGTTTTTGCTAAACTGAAGAACCACAGAACCTCAGCATGTTTTCTTGGACAATTCATGTAGCTTAGCATGCATTTTCAAAGATCTGACTCTTCACATAATGCTGTCATGTCGTAAAATGCACTGTTTACTACCTTCCATTTACTACACAGTCACTTCAGACTAAGTATCACTGAAGTTAGAAACCTGAATCCAACAGAGTTTTACTTTGAGAGAAGTGGCCCTAGAAGTTTGTAAGTAGCACTCACAAAATATGTTCTGCGCAGCAAAGATAGACTTTTATTAAACTATTATCTTCTATTTATCACAACAGTCATGATCTTTGACCTCTCCTTTTCTTACCTCATGACCCCACTGACAGGTTGTGAAAAGATAAAGTCTTTCAACTTCTTGAACTTCCAATCAGTTTCTTGATTTTGAACATGCTAGCCATTAAGGTGAAGTAGCTGAACAAACTTAAATGGGAGGGATGAAGTGAGTGAGGGTCCTTTGCACAGACAGACCTTCAAAACTCTCAAAAACTTGCCAGAACTCCAGTGAATTCCAAATCCATTTGAGTAGTCCCTACTTTTCACCAACTCATGGCTTAAACATGCTTCCAGTGCGGCTGCTGTGATGAACTGCTTGACTTTAATATACTACCACGATCAGAGACCTTAATATTTAATACGAAATGACAATTTAAGTCATCTTATTAAAACTGTAAGTAATTGGGGGGCAGCAGGAAGGCAGAGGCAGCATGCCAACCTATCCCTGTAGTAGTCCAACTAGTAAATCATTCTGTCCCATACCTGTGATTTACTTCCTTAAAAACTTGTATTAATACTCAAAATGAGAAATTCCAACAACATGAAAAGGAAATACTGTCAAATAGTTAAGAAAATACCGGTTCATATTTTTCATTAATGCTGCAAATTCTGCCTTACCAAACTGCTCTGAAAAGACTGATTTTGTTGACAATTCATCAGAGGTACTGCTCCTTTAATTTTACTCCCACCACTAAAAATACCTACTAAAGTCAGCCAGCTCTCAGTCTAAAGAAAATTATCCCTGGAATCCAAACCAAGGCATACAAGCTTGAATTGAATTTCTTAAAATTATTACACGTTTGAGTCAATTCTCAGCATTCAGGTTTATCCACTGAACCATCTGCAATTGCAGTAATATGTAATCTTGGGATTTTTGTGCCTCAATTTCTCTCCCCACTTTTTGATCTTATCTCTGGATTTGTACAAATCTAACACAATTATTGCTGCTGCCTCTAACTGTTACTGTCACAATTACAATTTGCAGATAGGACTTCCATTTTCTGATGATATGCCATAGCTGCTGTAGTTGCTGAAGAGAATACTCACACTTTGACATTCTCTGAAACAAACGTTTTGTCTTTATAATTCAGTCACTGCACAGAGCATAAAGAAGCTACTACCACAACTGTCAATATACAAGATTTGTTGGAGAAGAATTTGGTGATAGCTTATTTCTTTAACTAGAGAACTACTGGTATTTTAGGAGAATTTAACTTTGTGAACAAATATAACAGGATATTTCCATACAGCATCTTCAAGGAAATTATAAACATATGCACTTTAACAACTAAGCATCCAGGAACCCTTAACGCTCTCCCTGCCCCTTCTCAAATAAAAACATATTAGAAGATGTATGAGAAGCTTCTGGAACATTATATAAAGTAGGGATACCAAAAGCTGTGTTCATGTCTTTCACAGAACTCTGCCCAGCCCTCAGCAAGGCAGATTTGCCCTCTGTCTTAAAACATGCTCTGAAAATACAGCCAGCAGAAGGAAAGGCACGGAACACCAAAGCTACAAAACAGAACTTCCTCTTGAAGTAACAGTTAACTGCTAGAGCAATCTAGCTATGCCATCAAGCACACAGCCTCAGCTGATCTCTAACCAACAAGCAACATTGCCAGGAAAGCACTTACATTTAAGTGCACTCATACTGGGGCTGGTTATTTCATATGGATTTCCAACTTTCTTCTAGCACATTCTCACCAAATGAAACAGAAACCAAAAGTAAGAGCACCCCTTGCTCTCCATCCCTGGTGGAACACCTGAGCCAACCCCTGAGTCCTGGGAAGGCTGAGAATGCTCAGTACAAGGCTGTTCTTCCAAGCAGCCCAAGAGGAATCACCCCTACAAATAGATTTACCCAGTTTCAGTCCTGGCTGAGAAACCTTCTTGCTAATCAAACCCGCCTGAAATCACTTTTTAGAAATAACAAGTATCTATCTGCACAGATAATAAATTGTTTGTTAGCTGAATTAACAGATTCAGCAAGAGATTAAAGCATTTTAAATGGGGAGGTCACAACTATATGCATCCACATATGGCTTCTTTGAATGAGTAATCTAAAGATCTCATTTCAGTGGTTCTGTAACTATAAAGGTCAGCTATGACACCACTTGTACAACGAATTTAAATCATTCTGGTACACTGAGAATTCTGCATAAGTTACAAATAAGATAAATAAAAACAAAACCCGGATTCTTAAGTATTGTTATAAATCAATACAATGTGGAGGAAATAAGCATACTCAACGAAGCCAGCTTTGAAGACTGCTAGTATTGACAAATTAACAAGAGGGAGAAAGACTCTGAAATGATAAGGAAGATTGCCATACAGCATCGTATGCTTCCTTCCCTTTGTTCAAGGGTGTGTGAAGATAAAAGGGAAACCTGAAGAATTTAAGAACACGGCAAAACCATCACCTGCAGTGCTTTACAGTATGGCTGCCTGAGCAGAAGCAGGAAACAAATTCAGGAATGGCTTCAGGAAAAGAAGCTACAGTTTGAGATGGAAAAATATATATATATATATCTCAACAATAATGCCCACATTGTCTGCCAGCTGCCTGATTAAAAGCAAACCTAAGCAACACACATGGCCAACACTTCTAACAAGATGGTTATGAAACAACTTTTATGACATCAGAGCTCGTTACTGTGGAAATTCTGATTCCACAAATTCAACAATCATTTCCTAGGGCAAGATTAAATACAACAATTTAGATACAACACATACTTCTACATATTTATCAACTAGGAAAATGCTTGCATAACATTCCTATTGTTTAGGAGAGTAAAAAAAAAATCCTTACCACTTTACCAAAGAAAAATCCCACCACCAAAAAAATACCACTACCAAATCCCTGTATGCTCACTACTTATTACTTCAAAGGGGAAGGAACTGGATTCATTTTTTCCTTTTTTTTGTGAGATCTTTTCACTACATTTCTGCAGAGTACTATTTTTTTTTCCCCACTGAACAAAAAATAACACAATAAAGCAAATGCCTACTTTGACTATTAAGAACATGATTTCTTTTCATGAAGAAAAGCCTCTAGATGTGGGAGTACTCTGTAAGAAAAAAAAACAATCCAATAGATAAGAGCAGAATTTGAGGTAAGATACACAGGAGTCACTGATAACATCTTACAGTTCTACTTCATAAAGGAGAAGGTAGGGAATGTTACCCCCGTTTTATCTATTACAAAACCAAACAAAGAAACAAACAAAACTTTATCACTTTGGTTGTAATAATTTGCATTCAAATACTATTGAAAAATTTTTAAGGGAAAAAACTTAGCACAGCTTTTTTTGAGCAGTTTATAAAGAAGATGTTGTAACAATGTCTTAGGACGAAGTTTCTCCCACAGAGGGTGGTGACACACTGGACCAGTTTGCCCAAGGAGGTTGTGGATGCCCCATCCCTGGAGGCATTCAAGGCCAGGCTGGATGTGGCTCTGGGCAGCCTGGTCTGGTGGTTGGTGACCCTGCACATAGCAAGGGGGTTGAAACTAGATAATTTTTGTGGTCCTTTCCAACCCAGGCTATCCATTTTATGTATGTTCTTCCTCACTCTTGCAAGCATCACTGACCAAGATGGAAGCAGCAGGAGTACATGGCTAAACATAGCTACTTATTTTTAATTTTCAATATAATAATGGTATGAAAATGCAAGAATGCACTGACGCAGAAGATTTTTACTCAAAACAAAAAAAGACAAAGACAGAACCACAGAAAGCCAAAAACTAAATTAACTGTTCAAGAAAAAGCAGACAACAGAGTAAAATGCCAGATTCAAACCCCAGGATGTTCCTAGAGCCTTATAGAACACAACATTAAAGTACAAAACACTGTTGTAAATGTACATTAAAAAAAACAAAAAACAAGTCAGTTGCTTCTTCTTTCTAAATGTATTCTGAATGATCTGAACATACTGACTTTGCATGCAGCTAACAAGAACTGCAAGAAGGAAATTTCAGGTGAAAAAAAAAACAAAACCAGGAGACACCAGCAGACTCTTCACAAATGGAATACTACACATAGAAATAAAATGTTAACTAGCTCCTAAGGGATATTTTACTCTTCCAGAAAAGAAAATAATTATATAGGTAGAGCTGGATACTGAAGCGATAATTATACCATCTCTCCGACCAGCCAATCCAAGGGACGTCTACAGACCAGGAAAGCAGAAGTCCATGTACATCCTGGGCCCATTCTCCCCCCCTCAGCACTAAAAGCAGATGCTTTCAACGGCTGCTCTTCCATTCCTTTCTCCATGCCGCAGCTGACTGAAATGCATGTTATTTTCAAACAACAATGA